GGCAGACGAGGCCATGCGCGCCAGCATTAAGGCTGAAGATCTCCAAAAGGAATGTGAGAGTGTAATCGAATATGATGACAAAGCTGTGACCGTTATTGCGCAATTGGAACACGTGTTGAACACTCATTTCAAAGCTAACTCTGGGGAGATAGATGGACCCACCAACGGACAGGGCGCCACCTTCGAGGAGGTTAGGGAGTGTAACGGCGTTAGGTTAAAATCGTTCGAATTGAAGAAATTTGACGGGAAATTCGAAAACTGGCTTCCCTTTTGGGAACAGTTTAAGCGTGCAGTACATGAAAATCGCAAATTCTCAGCAGCTACTAAATTTAATTACCTGAACGGGGCATTGGTTGGCCAAGCAGCGGCAACGATAGCCGGATTTACGCCAACTGAGTCTTGTTATTCAGATGCTGTATCGCTTCTCTTGGAAGAATACGGCAATACCGAAAAAATTGTTGAGAAATACCTCCAGAAGTTGATTAATTTGAAGGTTGTGCATAATTCCAGTGATGTTCATGCACTACGTCAGTTGTATAACGAAATTAGTGTTATAATTAGGTCACTTAGCGCGCTGCGAGTACCATCTCATCAATATGACATAGTGGCAAAATCAGTATTGCTTAAGGTTTTACCTGCAAGCCTGCGTGTACAATATCACAGAGCTGGTGGTAAGGGTTCACTCTGTACCACAATGACTGACAACATCAACAGCACAGCGATTGAGAATGTTAACGCAGCGGAAACTGACATTGCCCACCATAAAGATGATAATCTAAAATCCCTCCTTGAATTTATTAAGGTGGAGCTTGAAGCCCTTGAAAAGGCGCAGTTATCCGAGCGAGATAAAAGAAGCGATGAACGGGATCAAAAAAGAATTTCACGCGCAAATCAAGGTACCGCTACCACTCTTTATGCTAACGGAAACAGTAATCCACAATGTATATTTTGCAAGAGCGCCAGTCACAGCACCAAAAACTGCACTAGCAACATGAGCGTCGAACAAAGAAAGCAGTTGCTAAGACAAGAGAGTAGATGCTTTCGATGCGGGAATAAGAACCACAGCTCCAAATTCTGCAGAGCGCAGTGGGTAAAATGCAATGGATGTAGCGGTAGGCACCTTACGCCCATGTGTGAGCAAGCAAAAGCCAGTGAGAAAAATTTACGAATGAGCGATCGAAGCGACATTAAAAAGCAAGGAGGTAATAGTAGCGTAACGGGAGCACAAGCTGCTTTGTCAAACTCTTTAGCCGGAACAGCGACTTTGAATACCATATCGGCAGAGCAAATTGACATATTCCTGCAAACAGCAAAAGCTGTCGTTAGTGACGTCACTAACAGCGAACGGGGGCTAAGCAGATTGGTTATGGACAACGGCAGTCAGCGCACTTACATAAGTGAAAAACTAGCGAATTTCTTGAAGTTATCGGCGAGCGGCATTGAAAAAATGAGAATTGTAGCCTTTGGAGATAAAAATACCCACAGGCAGCCGACTGACTTCAAAAGTGTTCAACTTAATATTAAAGGCCAATACAGCGGAAAAACAAAGACAATTACAGCTATCGTTGTGCCTAAAATTTGTATTGATGTTTTACCGGTACCGAAAATAAGAAGTGAAAAACTGAAATATTTAAAACTTGAATTAGCTGATACTAACATAAGTGGTGAAAATCTTGTTGATGGTATTAACTTATTAATCGGTCAAGACCACTTTTGGCAATTTACTACGACCGAAAGCAAGCGTATATCTGAAAGGTTAGTTGCGGTTAAAACACTGTTTGGTTGGACAATACAAGGATGTAGTAGTAACTTAGCTGTAGACAGTTGTGTACTAAATATATCCGATAGCGTGGGCCATGCGTTCGATATCTCTAATTTTTGGAGACTAGAATCGGTCGGTATTACAAATTTCCAATCTAATGAAGACCAATCTGTTGTTGGAAAAATCCGATTAAGCATAAATCGAACTAACGGGCGCTACGTAGTCAATCTGCCATGGCGTATTGGCAGCGGCGCATTAGCCGACAATAAGCAAGTTGCTCTCTCTCGTCTTCGTAGCTTAACGACGGGCCTGCTAAAACATAGCGACAAACTTTACGAGTATGATGCAGGAATTAGAGAGCTGTTACAGAACGGATTCGCTGAAGCTGTTGACGGCATAACTTCTAGTGGAAAGATCTACTACATGCCGCATAGACCAGTGTATCGAGAAGAAAAAATTACGACGAAAATGCGAATAGTATTTGATGCCTCGTCAAGTGAAGTCGGACTTTCTTCTCTAAACGAGCATCTTAGTGTAGGCGACAATTTGGTGGCGAATTTGTTGTCTACCCTGATAAAGTTTCGCTCGAACCCTATAGCTTTAACAGCGGATATCGAGAAAGCGTTTCTGCAAATCTCACTAGCCGAAAGTGACCGTGATTGCCATCGGTTTTTTTGGTATGAGTCAACTCCTAAAGTCAATAGCGTGTTACCATCAATAACCGAATATCGAATGGCCCGAGTTACCTTCGGCGTAGCTTCAAGTCCTTTCCTACTAGCAGCAACGATACAGACGCATATAGAGAGCTGTAGAGATCAATATGGCGTGATCTGCGACAAGCTAAAAGCTTCGTTTTATGTTGACGATCTGGTACTTAGCCTGCCAAACCGTAAATCGGCTGACGACCTTTTTCAAATGGCGAATAGCATAATGGGCGCCGCCAATTTCAACTTGCGTAAGTGGAATACCAACGACATTTTACTAAAAGCCTCTTTTCCAGTTGCAAAGCGTGACGAGTGTACGAAGCCTAAGGTGTTGGGCATAAATTGGTGCACAATCGCGGATGAGCTCAGCGTCGAATTGGCAGGAATTGTTGAATATTTACGATCGTTAAGAGGCACCAAACGGAATGTAATGAAGGCGATGGCAAAGATCTACGATCCCTTAGGAATGCTTTCCCCATTTGTCGTTCGAATTAAAATATTGCTGCAAAGTGTGTGGAAAGCGAACCTTGACTGGGATCAAACTTTGGATGCAGATCTGTTGTCAAGCTTCCAATGCTGGCAAGAAGAGCTGCCAATACTAAGCGGACTGCGTATAAAGAGAAATCTCACAACGTACAGCACAGCAACAAACGAGATGCACATTTTTGCAGATGCGAGCCCAAAAGCGTATGGAGCGGTAGCATACTTGCGGCAAATTTCTCCTGATAAGGAAATAGTGACAAATTTCATTTGCTCAAAAAATCGAGTAGCGCCTCTTGAGAAGAACTCAGTAAACAGCGAACTGAGCTTACCGAAGTTGGAGCTGACCGCAGCCCTGATGGCGGCCAGACTCAAGGCATTTTTAGTTGAGGCTATTGATTGCGATGTTTATGCGACATACATGTGGACGGATTCTACAATTGCTTTGAATTGGATAAGAGGCTGCGGAAAGCAGTTGAACCTTATGTCAAGGCGAGAGTGAACGAAATAAACAGTCTGACGAATATATATGAATGGCGCCACTGCGATGGAAAAAACAACCCCGCTGATTTGATTACCAGAGGTATTAAAGCCAAGCAGTTAGCAGAATCAGTATTGTGGAAGTATGGACCAGCCTGGCTGCTAGAAGAAAAAGAATGCTGGCCAACAGGCTGTCAAGTTGAGCGACCGACGTGCTTGGTAGCTGTTGCAATAAAAGACGATAGCGATACGTACAAACCTATTTTGCAAATCGACGATTTCAGCAGTATGAAGCGTCTGCTACGTGTGACATCGTACATTTTTCGGTTCCTGAACGCTATCAAAACCAAACATGTGCGCGAAAAAGGCCGGAGAGTTAAATCTGTCGCTGACGTCGACGAGCTAACTTATAAAGAGTTGAAAGAGGCTGAGTGCTACTGGATAAGGGATGCTCAAAGGGGTGATTACGAGAAGGAAATCGGCGCATTGCAACAGGGCTTGTTAATCTCATCTGATTCAAAGCTTTTGACTTTAAATCCAATACTGGAGAATGACGTACTGGTGCTCACAGGAAGACTGCATGGAGTTGAATTTGGTAATAGACATACTAACCCAATTATTCTTCCAAAGCATTCTCGTTTTAGCCAGCTGATAATAATTGAGGCGCATAAAGCCACTCTACATGGTGGCGTTAATGCAGTTTTGTCGCACATTAGAAAGAACTTTTGGATAGTTCAAGGTCGGCAGCTGATTAAGAACATTCTTCAGCGTTGTGTAATATGCAAGCGCCTATACGGCAAAAGCGCGTCAGAACCGTGGACGGTTTTACCAGCCGAACGAATTGCAACGGCTAGGGTTTTTGAAACCACTGGTGTGGATTTCGCCGGCCCACTCTACGTAAAGACTGATGGAGACGACATCCGTAAAAAGGTCTACATAATGCTGTTTACTTGCGCAGCAATTCGCGCGGTGCACTTGGAGTTAGTTGCTGACATGACCGTTAATAGCTGTATCGAGGCTTTGCGGAGGTTTATAGCAAGGCGCGGTACACCCAAAATCATAATCTCCGATAATGCTAGAACATTTAAGAGAGCGGACCTGGAGCTCCGAAAACTTGAAGAACTGGTGAAAAAGAAGGAGGTATTACAGCTGGCTGCACATAAAGGTATCACATGGAGATACATCCCTGAGAGAGCGGCATGGTGGGGCGGTTTTTGGGAACGCCTGGTGCGGTCGGTCAAAAACGCTTTAAAAGCATCAATTGGCAGAGCGGTGCTAACATCAGAGGAGCTTAGAACATTACTTACCGAAGTCGAGAGTGTAGTAAATGCCAGGCCGCTAACTTATATTACCAATGACGATAAGGACTTGGAGCCACTTACTCCGTCGAATTTTCTAATCGACTGCAATTCAGCTATTTTGGCTACAGATTTTCAATCTGACGGGTCGACGATTTCACAAGCCTGGACGCTACGTCAAGCTTTACTGCGGCGCTATATGAAGAGGTGGCGCGAAGAATATCTGCAACAACTTCGCTACATTCATCACAACAAGAGCGCAGCGTCACGCAGCATAGGGATTGGTGACGTAGTTTTGGTGAAAGATGACAACAAACCTCGCCTTCAGTGGAAGCTAGCAGTCGTGCAGACGACGTACCAAGGACGAGACGGGCGTATTAGAGTATGTGACGTACGAATGCAAGGTCAGCAAGTGCTTAAGAGGCCAATTCAGTTACTCTACCCTCTGGAAATTTCATCATCGATTGCCGGGCCCGAGGATGTTGAAAATTGATGATCGTTGGCAACAATCATTTGTTCCTATTATCACCTTGTTGTCTTTTACACTTTATTTACTCACAATTACACTTACACACATTCACACTTCTAATGTTGAATTCTATTCATAAATGAATTGTACTGAAACTGAATTTAGTATTAAACCACAAGCCGAAACTGTCGCAAGACCGGGCGAAATCTAAAAGCGTATTTCAATTAATTTTTACAATAATAACCAAGATTTGGTTATAGTGATCAAGTGGCATAGTTGGATATGGCGAAATAAATATATAGTTCACGAAAGTCTGCAATTTACTTAAGACTTCTAGTTGGGACAAATGTATATTTGTTAATAATTACAAAACGACTACCTTGATTGGACAATATTGTTAGTTGAATAAAATCATTGCTGAGCAAATATAAACAATGCTTTGGTTGATACAAGTTTTCAATTAATTTTGTGAACTTGCTGTAGACTTGAATCAGCTAAAAGTTTATTATTAGGAAAAAAGTTTCAGTTTGACACAAATAAAAATTTACTCGATGTTTGTTGTGTTTACTTTCTTCTTTTATTTGCATATATTAAGCATAAAAATACGTACATATTTACATAAGTTAGTTACTAAAGTAAATAATACATGTGTATATGGTGTTAAGAATTTCTTAAAAAACAACGATGAAACAGGAACAGTCGTGCGAAAACCCAGGTCAATATCTGCTGGAAGTATACTGCTTTGCTTTTTCCTTAGCTAAATAGACACTTTCAAATTATAATTCACATGAATTATATATCCACTGAAAAACCCCGGTTGGCATACAACTTTATATTTTTAATTAAACTTTAAACTATGCGCGCACCGAAACAACTCGCGATGATAGCAAAACTGAAACTGAGACAAACAAGTATGGGCATGTCATAGCACACATGGCGCAGCGATCGACATGCCATAGCTTACTGAGCGCTCTGGGACCACATGCGTGTTTCACCCATATACGAACAGCGGTAGCGGAGCAATGATTTCCACGCACAATGCAATGGTCGGCATACTAGCGCATTCAAACGATTCAATAAGTGGGACTGTGTGCATTGCTCAGCTGGCGCTCTTCGTATGTGCTCAGAGAGCGCTCAGCATTCTTTAGGGGTGGCTCATAAGCATGAATATGTTCCACTCTAAAACCAAATCGTGGTTGCCTCAACTAAGATTTGGTAACTATGACTAAACCACGTGTTGAAAGAAAGCTTATCTGCATTAGCAGAGCTTAATAACATCCTTTTATGAACCATACGTTAAGTTGAATGGAATTTGTAGAAATATGCTTCAAAGAAATATTTATTAGTATTAACCAAACCCTTCAACTAAATTAACGATTTGTTACAACCTAGATGAATATTAGAAGCTTTAATATATTTAGTTATAATTACCAACCCATGGTAATAGTTCCCAATCCTTGGTAACAGTTCCCAAATATTGTCAAAATTCGGGAACTAAATATCTTTAGTTGTCGAAACTAATCCTTTTTCTCAGTGTAATTTAGTTACCCAAGCATTTGCTGCCAAGTGTTCATTGTAGCAAGCATACTTTTAACAGTTCCGAATTCTCTGACCCGTATACAATTAAATTGCTTTTCACTACCCTTGTTAGATCTAGGTTAGAGTACGCCTCATTTATCTGGAGGCCATATCATGCATGTTACGTTAACCGCATTGAAAAAGTTCAAAAGGTGTTTATCAGGTTTGCTCTTCGAACCTTGCATTTTAATGAACCTATTCCTTCGTATCTTGCTAGATGTAAGCTCATTAATTTAAAATCGCTGGAAAGTAGGAGATCGATTCTGTCACTATCTTTTGTATTTGATATTATTTCTGGACGGGTGGACTGTGCCCCCCTCCTTGAACGTATTCGTTTTAATGCCCCACTTAGAAATTTACGTCATTTTGAGTCATTTCATATAGGCCCGGTAAACTGTTTATGCATTAAACGCTCCTATCACAAGAGCTCTATGCGATCTTAATCGCATCGAAAATTGTATTCATATTGATTTTACAGCTTGTAAAAACGACTTTTTGAATTTGTTATCTTCTATTTTGGATTAATTTTGTAAATTTACTTTACTTTTCTTTTTAATAGTCTGTAAGAATATTTGATGTATTCATTGGCTAAATTAAACAAATAAATAAACAAAGAGGCTATTCAAACTGATTAACAACGTTACACAAAGAAAAGCGAAAAAGAAAAAAAGCACTTGCTTAGCAAATAAGTACTTCTCCGAATAATGCTGTAAACACATAAAGGGCTTGTGGCGTGTGGCGTGCAGCCTGTCAAATTAGAATACACGTAAAGCACATGCGCCGAACACAATCCACAACACAAGCCAGGGTTGTCGTGCGATTGCACACCAAGCTGTAGACGGACAATTTCTATTTTCTAATTTGACAGGCGTGCGAAGAGAAAATGAGAGAATATTTGCTCTCTGTTGACATTTCGCTCATAAATTCAAATCAAACGGCTTTTGATTTATTGTTCAAACGTTTCCAAATATATTTATTTTATTTATTTAAAACAATGGATTTCGATGAAATTTTAATTAGCGAAGTGCAAAAATATCCATTTTTGTACAACCTTAATGATGAGGGGTATAAAAATGCTCTGAAAAAGGAGGAAGTGTGGTTGCAGATAAGCGAAGTATTGGGCCAAGAAGGTAGCGATTAGATTTTTTAATTCTAAAGATTTTCACCGAGATATTATTTATTTCACAGCTAATGTATGTAAAAAGCGCTGGAAAGGTTTGCGCGACCATTATTCGCGGTGCAAACGGGCCGAGACTTTGCCATCAGGAAGCTCCGCTAGCAAGAGGACGAGATGGAGGTTCTATGACCAAATGTCACTTTTGGACAACTTCCAGTACTGCCGGAGGTGAATATAATTACATTTCTTATATACGAGTATATGTATATGCACATATATGTATGCGTGCAAGTGATAAATCTGTATTTATATAAATTTTTACTATTTTAAGAACGTGGAGCAATGTTTCCGAAGTGGAGGAAAGTGTTATTGAAGTGCAGGGAGAAGAAGACGAAGTACACACAGCAACACCACGCCAATCGCGACGCAAACACGACATGGTATGTACGTTTATTGTTATAAGCAGGGAAGACAATTTTAATGATCATATAGTAAAGTTTTTTGTGCATATTTTTGTCTTCCCTAGTTATAAGTGTATATGTGCCAGAAATCTGAAAGATTATTTTTTCCTTAGATTGATGACGACTTTCGTTTTTTCCTAGAGGAAACTTCAAGTTCCCTGAAGGAAACGTGCGACACATTTGCTGCTGCTGCAAATAGCATTACAATCGCAAATGCTAATAATGTGCCAAATGCTTCCGCGAGTATGTTTCAAGGGATTGCTCAAATCATTACGGCACACAAGTTTAACCCGCAGGAAGAAGCGACGTTGGTGGGAAAAATTACCACATATGCTTTGAACGAAATAGCAAAAATGCGAAAGGAAAATTAAATTTATTACATCGAAATCATATATAATTAGTGAGTATGTATATTAAAATAGAAAATGTTGCTAGTATCAGTTATGTACTTGTTTGTATCCATATTAACATACAGCGACAACATAATGGATGTTAATAACGAAACAGCGAAGATGAACCTATTACCTGCTTCAAAAAAATGGGCACCATGGCATATCTAGTAATTAATCATCGACGAAAATCACATTACCTAAGATAAATGAACATAAATTAGGGACAAATCTCGGACCAGACATAACGAAAAATGACACTGAAGATGGCACAACGCCGAAACCGGTTTGTCTGCAAACCAAACTTGACAAGGGATGACGGAAATTCGTTCCAAAATAAATCCATTTATTTTATATTATTTTATTGTTTGTTTTTAATGATCTCATTGAATTTGCCTTAAGATTGTTGTTAATTTTTAACTGTTTTTGTAAAAAAATTAAATAGAAAAGGTTTAGTAATTAAACGCATCAAAATTCCTAATCAGAATTTTTAGAAAATTTTCGGGTACGCAGTTTAGTAGTCCTTTGAATTTCAGTCTCCTAAGTGCAAGTTTCAAATCGCCAATAATTACCGTAGATTTTTTAGAATTTTTTTTGTGGAGGGTGTTGCGCGTTTTCTTCCATATAACGCGCGATCAAAATCTATTTTTATATGGAAGAAAATGCGCAACACCCTCCACAAAAAAAAATTCTAAAAAATCAACGGTAATTATTGGCGATTTGAAACTTGCACTTTAGGAGACTGAAATTGAAAGGGTTACAAAACTGCACACTTGGAAACTTTCTGTAAATTCTGAATACAAATTTTTAAATTTGGATGAACATTGTTTGAATTTTTGTGAACTTTACATATAAAGTGTGAAGCTTTTATTTACATGATTATATATATATAATTGTGAATATTATATTAGAATAAGGTGTACACTTACATTTGACACTGACTGTATGTACATATATTCTAAATGAAAATTATTAAAAATAAATAAATAAACATAAATTGCAATCAATATCATTTTGAGTTTTCGGTTCTAAATCTTTCACCATTGCTGTATGTATATAAATATATGTATTATTTTTTAAAAAGGTTGTATTTAAACAAGGCACAGGACTAAAATTTATAAAATACAAAAAAAGACGAACAGAATTTTTATAACAACTTTAGTATTTTCGAACTCCAAGAAATCAAAGCGATTAAATATCCAAGTACAGTTTTTTATCAACCAGAAATTAAATAACAAAGTTGTTTTTAATTTAATTTAATGTATGTACATATTTGTTTTTTTTTAAGTTCTTTTTGAATCTCTAATTTAAATCATACAGTGGGAAGCAAACCTGAGTGCATGGTGATTTTTATTAAATATTGGCAAGGCTTTTAAAGTAAAATTTTCCTTCACACTGTATTTTCTTTTTTTTTAATTTCTTAAATCACTAAGTTTTTCTTATTATCACTATTTTTTTGTCCAGTCTTTTTGCGTTGTTTGATCTTGCCAGGTTGTTGCAATTTTTCGAATATCACCGCCAAGAGGAAACCATGTAATTACAATATCTGAATGTGGATAAATAAAACTTTATTTTGTGAATAATGTGCAGATTTCTATTAGTGATTTCATACCTTTACGCATGCTGCTATCTTGTCTCCATTTTTCAACCGAAATCCATTAAAATGTCCATAGTAAACCGAGTAAATGTGATATATTAGTTAATTAGTTTAGTTGCGGGGATATGAAATCTTTTAAAATATTTCGGAGCTCGAATGCTGATGTAGAGGACCGATTTGAAACTGTGTTGGAAATGCTTTGAAGGGAATTTTGATCATCGTGATCTCTGTGAGCATTGGTAATATAACTATTGTCTCTATGCAATTATGCAGTACTATAGTAGCTAACACAATTTTGTCAGCGTTCTCTGGATTGGCATGAATGTTTGTATGAAGGACTCGCCATCGATTTGCTAGAATGCCAAATGCATTTTCGATATGTACACGAGCTTTTGATAAAGCTTTGTTAAATGCTGTTTTATCCGGGGATAAGAAATGGCCAGGAAAAGGTCGCATTAAATTTTTTTTTAGGGGAAAGGCATTATCAGCTACAAAGTAATAGGGAAAGTTGATTGAAGTATGAGGTAAAGGTCGGTCCGGTGGCACTTCCAAGGTTTCGTCTAAAATTCTTTTACCAAAGGCGGTTCTACTAAATATACCGCCATCGCTTTGAGAACCAAATGATCCAACGTTAACATAGGTGAACACATAGGCCCCTAATATGAGTTCCATTCGATTTTCGACTGTGGTCGAAAGTGCTGAGCGAACGAATTTTCATTTGGTATTATGGCGCTCATTCGATGAAGAATAGCGCTATTGTGAATCTCGCTCGTTTAGGTTGTTCACAATAGTATATTTTTCACCGCTGAGCAGCTTTGTTTACAAATCGAGCAAACTAAATAGTGTGCTTATACATATTTATGTAAATTTGTTCTAATTAAAATGAAGTAAAAAAGAAAGCAAGTTTATAAAAACGTGGTAAAATGAGTACAACGAGTTCTGGTTCAACGATTCGTCAGAGGATGAGAGCTTAGTAAACTGGCCAGGAGTAGCAAATGTTTAAGAGAGTTTAAGTTTATTAGTCTTTCGAATATATTTTGATATAAAATATATTTAAGAAATTTGTCTACAGATTCATTAAAAAGTTCCGACCATCTAAAGAGGCGTTTGTGAGCCAAATCTATTTAAAATATTTTAAAACTATCAACAGCGCTACGATTTTGTTCTCAGAGATCGTGCCAACAGAGTATTGGGATTTTCTTTCACAAGTAAAACCAGCCTTTCGTGCTTGTGTTTAGTATTCACGATGTTAGAACTGCATGAAATTAATAAAAATTGTTTAAAATTAGTGTCTAGCCGCCAAAATGTAAGAAAACATAAACAAAATCATAAATTTTTCACAATTTTCTAACACTTCGCTACACCATCGAAAGCAAAATTCTGTTCGACAGAAAATTCGATACTCAACGAAAATTTCGACACGCTTGCATAGCTCATAATACGAATTTCACTTTCGATCTTCGATAGCCAGCGAAGATCGAATGCAGCTCATAATAAGGGCCATAGTTGGCATCACAAGCCGCTAATAGTGTGATGCTAAACCGTTTTTTATAATTAAAATAAAGTGAGCCACTTTTTCTTGGACGGAACATATTAATATGCTTGCCATCAATTGCTCCCACGCAATTTGGCATTCCAGTTTTTATGAAAAAATCATCAGCAATTTTCCGCAGTTCTGTGACATTTGGTGGAGAAGTGCATCACATGTTTCATAAATTATTTTTCGCACAGTTGAAATGCCAAGCTTATACGCCCAAGCCAGAACTTGTACATTACATCCTTGAGCTAAATACCTGTAACATAAAATTTCGGCGTGTGTTTTAACCTTGGAAAGTCATCCTTCGTCGATTCGACGAACTGACAGGGATGACATTCAAGGATTAAAAATCAGTAGTATTTTAGATGCAGTAAGATTTGAGAACTTAGTCCGAAGTTATAGGAACAGCGTTCTGCCACGTGTAAGACATAGCTGAAAAACACCGGGAACGTTTTCCTGTAACTTTAGACAAAAACCTGCAAACCTTCCTGAATCTAGAACACTAATATTAATACTTACAAAAGCGTTACCGATAACCGTGTTTCAACTCCAATTGGGGGTCGACGAGACATTCGCTGCAATTTTTCTCTTAACATTGAAATAAGTAAATTGTATGTTGCAACCGACATGCGAGTAGCTTTGAAAAAATGCTCATCTTGTGATTCCAACTGTTTAGCACAAGTTTTGAAAAACCCCGTTTTATAAATTCTTCACGAGATTTGCAAATGTTTTCAGCGAATAGCGCCAAATTCTTTTGTGGTGACATTTCTTTGGTTGACATTTCGCTAGGCTGTCGCTCTCATTAAAAAATTACAAGCCAAGCGCGACACGACTGTGGAACGTAACTGCAAGGTTAGCCACACACCGCAAGCCCTTTATGTATTTACAGCATAAGAGATTCACTGAAAAAAAAACAACAAAACCAAGTGCATAGTTTGGGATTTCCCCTAAATTGTTCGACTTACAGAAGCATTTGCCAACATTTTTATTCGAATTATGGAGAAATTCGAGTTAGAGAAGTTCGAGTTATGGAACTAAAAATGAGTGTATATTGCTTTCTAAACGCTCTCGCTACCCGATTTAGCTCGAGTTATAAGTTTGACTGTATATGAAAAAGGTCAATTTAAAGAAACACAGCTAATTTTCTATTCAAAAGACTGCGCCTAGGTTGCGCTGTGCTTCTGCTAATGGTTTTCCAGTCCTGGTTAGATGTCGCTTTTACAAATGTAATTATACGTTGTTAGTTTTGGTCTGAAATGACTGCTCTAAAGAATTGCACTGTCAATATTTGAACATACATCGGTTTATAATTTTTTTAGGTTTGAATGTTAATGGCATTGTATTCATATCTAAATATAGTGCATGCGATGTATGAAAAATTGTAGGAAAATAATTAAAAGAAACACAGCTAATAACATAAACATTCTACTGGCAATCTGGCAACACTGTAAAGTAGCGGATCGCATAAATTTTTGCTCGTGAGAAAAATTGCTGATTTTAAGAAATAATTCGCGTAATATTAGCCCAGAAAGGCGTGTAGCCGTATAATAAATTACTCTGTACCACTGGAACTTGGAGTTGGTTGAGGTAAACACAGATCAGCTGGTGCTTCCACTCTGCCATTTGTTGCTTGCTGCTGCCATTGGTGCTGTCTGCCGATACCGCTGATTCTGCCGACATATACACACATACTGCTCGTGGTGATACGAGTTAGAAACTAAAGAACATTTATCCGAAAAACAAACTTGGTCCCACTTGAACTTGGACTCAAGTGAAGTTGAAGTGCACAGATCATCTGGGGATCCACTCTACTAGTTTCTGGTTGTGCCGCCATCGGTGCTGACTGCCGCTGTTTTTGTCATAAGTTTTCACAGCGCCGTT